TTAAATGTAAATGTAAATTTACTGCAGGGGAGAAATAAACGGACACAATTCCTAAAACAAATTGATCCATCCTTAAAGAAATGGCTATAATTTCATTCATTTTACAATCGACAATAAATTCACTTTCATCATTTGTGACAATAATGGCTGATCTGCCTTTTTCATCATATACCGCTCTCCACCCTTTATTTAAATATGGCATCTTATCATTTATAAAATAAGGCTCTTGCACTGTAATCAAATCAAAATTTTTACCTAAAATATTTTCAACCGCGGCCAACTGGCAAGCTGCCACCGCACAGTGATTCAGATTAATATTTAATATTTTCATATCCAAGGGAATAATAAAAAATAAAACAATTACAAATATAAAATTACATGCCATAAAAACAGATAAAGCAGTTAAAATAATGACAAGCACTGAAAAAAAAACAGCCCAATCGCAGTTATAATTAATTAAAATCCAAAACAATACTATTCCAATATACGCAATGTTCAGAAATAAATTTAATCTCACACTTATAAAGTTCACAATCCTTTGCCAAAACATGATGATTCACATCAAAACGAGTACCATATTTCAAATTCGAATCCTTACAGTTAGCACATATTTCCTTTTCTTTAATACAATTTCTAACTACATGAGATTCTGAACACTTGATACAAGTAACATCATTTTTACAATGTTTAGTGGTGTGTCCAAATTTGAAGCAACGTAAACATCTCTTTGGCCTAAGATAAAGTTTTGCTACATAGGCCTTCCATCCAACACGAACTCTGTTATCCTCTAAAATTGAGGATTGACACTGGGGATCCACACGAAAAACTCTATGAGTAACTTCACTTGATTCTTTACTTTACATTTTATCCTAAATAATGGACGCACACAGTCGCCAGAACAACCACACTCACTCCTCATTTTATCAACAATTTCATCATCTTCTACATAGTTGCACACATTATATACAAAAGTTTTGGCTGTATAAATCTTTTTTCTGTGTATACAACTTATCTTTTAAATTTTCTTTAGAATCAATAACATTTTGAACCATATCAACTTGTTTACTCTCTTTAAATCTCATAACTAAATCACCGTTTCTTTTAACAAAAGAACTCATAATCTGTGCATCCATATCATCAGGTTTTACATTCACAATTAATTCATCATAGACATCAATTCCAGGCATCGCTGGTCTAACAACTAATTCATTTCTTTCCAATTCTTATTATCCATAAATCTATTCTTTTTATTCTCTTGTTTATGTCGATTTTCCCGAAGAGTACTTTTTAATCTCATCGATGCCCCGTTTAATGTCCAATAAAACATCCGTTTTCAAATGTATAAAATTATCTTCAATACTTCTTAAATTCTGTGCAACAAGAATTCAACAACTTTGTCGATTCCCCCTGCCAATCCTTCAGTAATCTCACGTGAGACCCTTCTAACTTTTAATTTATCAACAAATTCATAGAGGGCCCTAACAGCAGAAAGGACGCTTCCCAATTTCTCATCATCATTTAATTTTTCATTATCACAATCCATCTTTTCTTTCGTTATATCAGAACCATCCAATATTTCACTATCAACACCTGTAAATTCTTTCTCAACATCATTTTTCAGTCGACTCATTATAACAAAACAAATAAATATCAAGATTACAATACTGCGACAGGGCTGTATATAAAATATTCAGAATTTCGCAAGAATAAGGGCTTTAAGAAAACATTATCAAGTTAGACAAATTGATGAAGACACTCGAAGAGAAAGAAAAATATTATATAAAAAGGAAATGGCTCTCTATCGAAAAAAGATTAAAAAGACAAAATATGAATATAAGATGAAGCATTTTTTGGATAATAAAGACTACTATGATTGCTACTTTCGATCGGCAACACGTAAATCTAGACCTTCCCAAATGATTATAAGGAAAGATGAGCAGAGTACTGATGAATTTTCTGATGTTATTAGGGATTATTTTATGGAAAACTTTGATTGTGGAAATCCTGAGGATGGTATTGTTAAGATTGAACTTTTAACATCTCCAAACTGTGGTGCTGATGATGTTTTATTTTCTATAGATGAGATTCGTTATGTTGTGGGAAAATTGAGAAATAAAAGTGCTCCTGGAATTGACTGTATACATGCTGTTATGGTTAAATGTTTATTTAAAAATTTTGAGAAATTTTTCGTTCTACTTTATAATAAATGTTTTAGTTTGTCGATTTTTCCGGGAGTGTGGAAGATCTCAAGAGTAATATTCATTCCAAAGGGTGACCAGGCAGTTAGACCTATTTGTTTATTGAAATTCTTTGGAAAAGTTCTGGACAAATTGCTTACCAATAGGTTATATATCATTTTTTCTTGGAGAATAATTTTATTTCAAATAGACAGTTCGGTTTTGTTTCGGGAAGGTCAACAAATGATGCACTTTATGATTTAACAAACACTATAGTTCAAAAGAAGAAAGATTTTCATGTGATAATTGTTTCTTTCGACGTTTCAAAGGCTTTTGATTCTGTTATATGGAATTCATTGCTCTCCACCCTTGAGAATTTTAAAATACCTAAAAATATTTTTGCAATTTTGTGTAATTATTTTAATAACAGAAAAGGTTGTATTTTCTTATGATGCTGATTTTAAAATTTTTAAAAATGTGTATAAAGGATGCCCTCAGGGCTCGCCTAGTGCTCCGCTGCTCTGGAGCGCCGTTATTTTTAAGTTATTAAATGTTTCTCTTCCTGAATACGTAAATGTGATCTGCTATGCAGACGATATTTTATATGTAATATATGATGTATCTTTAGAAAAATTAGAACAGCGTTTTCAACTGGTGAGTGATATTCTAAAGAACTGGGCCGAGGATGAGAAGTTGATTTTTAATTTGCGAAAGACTTCATATATGTTTTTCCCTAGGGCCGGCAAAAATACTAGACCACCCAGGGCTAAGATTTTATGGTACCCTGTTGAAAAGAGTAGATCACATGAAATATTTGGGTGTAATTATAGATGATAAATTAAATTTTGAACTTCATTTTAAAGAAATTCAGAAGAAATCTGATGCAATTTTATTATTTTATAAAAGAAATTTTCCAAAAAAAGTATTGATTACTAAAAGAAATATACTCAGAATGATTTATAATGCTGTTATCATACCTATAATAATGTATGGAATAGGTAGTTGGGGCTCTAGGGTGGCGGAACTCCAAAGAATAAGGAATAAGTTAATAACAATTCAGCGGCCCTGGCTTCTGTCACTGACTAGGTGTTTCAAAACTACTCCATCTGAAATTCTCTGCATCTTGGCCGGCACACCGCCTCTTTCTATATTTTATAGGTATTATTACGATAAATTTTTATTATCTACTAATAAGATTGATTTTATTCATTATGAGGAATTTTTTGCTTGTTGTACTGCTTTTTAAATACATAAATGGATACTTGGATCCTTATTGTATACACCCTGCTAAAAGAGTTATTATTGATTATGAATTTCATTTTGTTGAATTTGGTGAAATTGACATTTTTACAGATGGTTCTGGAATCGATGGTAAGATAGGTTTTTCTTATGTTGTATATTACTATGGTACTGAAATTTACAATGATAAAATTAAATTGGAAAATTTTAATTCAGTGTTCCAGGCAGAATTGGCAGCTATTTTTTATGCTTTGAGATGGATAAGGGATAACTTATTTATACATTATAAAATATCAATTTATAGTGATTGTCTGTCTGGTCTCCAGGCCTTAAAAAATAATAATAACTTACGAATGTAAAAACTCATTAAGTTGTTGATATTAAATGTCTCTATGAAGAAATCACCAAAATTCATGTTGTGAAATTTAAATGGGTTAAGTCCCATGTTGGGATTTTGGGTAACGAAAGGGCCGATGTGTTGGCCAAGGAGGCAGTTATGGGCGAATCCGGGGAGTGTTCCATTGTCCAACCATCTAGAAGAATTCTTGTAAATAAAATAAAACAATTTTATATTGATATGTGGAAAAAGGATTGGAATGAGTCTGATAGAAAAAAGGATTACAGTTATAGTTTGATCCCTACATATAATACAATGTATTTCATGCTGCCTGGATCTTAATCAAATTATCACAGGACATGGACGCTTCCCGAGTACCTAAAGAGATTCGGTCTACAAGAAAATGAGTTATGTTATAATTGTGGAGTTACGGGTTCAGTTAAACATTTTGTAAATGAATGTGATTTAACTTATGATATAAGACAAAAGTTTGGACATATTAATACATTTACTGGAAAAAACACTGAATTTGAATTTGCTAGGGAATTAATGAATTTTATTAATAATAATCGTGTTAATGTCGGAATTTTGATTTAACATGTGTTTAGTGATTTTATGATAGAGCATGTTCTGTGTCTTGTGTTTTGTCCTTTTGTTTGGTTAGTTTCTAACTATTGTATTTATTTTAATTATTATTGTGCCGTTAAGGTCCATTAAGGTTATATCCTAATGGGCGTATTTTATTATGTGGTTTTTAACTTGGCGCCCCCCTGGAAAAGTCATAAAATCAAATCGATTAGGTGGATGGGGGGCTGCGCCTCTTTCTGTACCATCCGCACTCTTATTAACTCTATGCCTAGACGTGTTTCTTCATGCATTGCTGTCCACGATGGTCCTACATCCTACTGAGCTGACGCCGTTTCCGCTCTGGTTTCTGACTATCATTTTGAAATAAAGATCACTTACTGCTGCTTGCTGTCCCTGTCTTTTTTTCCAAATTTCATCATTTTCTGACCACTCCTTCTTGGTGTTGCATTTTCAATGTCGAGCAGTGTACATATATATTCCCTTAAGTTCATTAATGCATCTATTTCAAATTCTTAATTTTATGATTTTTACATTTCATCTTACTAGATTTAGATTGATGATGTAAAATATGGTATATTCCCAAATCCAGTATCAACGAAGTCCTAACAAGGTCCGGATTTAAGACTTTGTACTGTATTAATAAATTGTGTTAATCTTACCTCGTACATGCATTTTGCAGTAACCTTTTGTTTTAATACTGGGGGAAATCCTGTAAGGAATTCTTTAAGTTTGTCATGAATTTTTTTCCTGATTGTCCTGGCTCCATATTCTTGCTTATCAGAAGCTATCCAACATGGAACTAAATTATGAGCATCAACCTATTAAAATATGAAAATTTTAATAAATACAATATAATGCAAGCATTTTATAAGAAACTAAAAAAACTGGCTACCTTCAAACCAGCTTTCACCCTCATTTTAATATTCCGCTTGCAATTTTTGACTTCGCATTTCTACAAAATTTTATAACACTCACACATGCATCTGGTACGTGCACATATAGGTTGACTACTGTCATATATATTCTTGAAAGTACGTGAAAAACATGACAGTTCTACCAAAGTTATTACCATGGCAGTTCTACCGTTTACTGTAATATCAAAAAACATCAAAAATTCCAATAATTGTTAATAAATAGAGTTCTGTTTTATAAAAATTAAAAAAACAATCTTCAGTACCTCCTTTTATTTAAAAAAAATCCACTTGAATAATTTTTAATAAGAATATTTTAATGGCTACATCATTTAATACTGACAACAATATCATAAATATCTTGAATATATGAAAAATATTTTACAGAAAAATAGAAAATATTTTAATAATAAATGTTAAACATATAAAAAATATTTTACTTGCAACAATGGTACATCAGATGGCAACTTTTTTGAAATATCTAAAAGCCATTTTCTTGGTACTCTTAAGGGTGAAAAATCTGTAACAATAGTTCCAACTTTGTTGCTCTTTACAAAGTTTGGTAACACATCTTTGGCTTCACCAAAAAGTAAGTGAAAATGAATATTCAATGACTCACATTCCTAAAAGAGGAAATTTAATGTTATTTTGCAAACACAAAAACTTACTAATTTTTATATATTTAAAATGTAATTATAATAACATTCAAGGAATAAAGAAAACAGGAATACAAATACTCAAAATTAAAAGGTTCAAAAATATAATTGAAATTAAGTGCTAAGATAAATCAGATCACTCAAAATACTTTAATACAGAAAATGTAAATGAACGAACTTGCATAATTAATGCTTCCATTGCATATACTTATTAAAATTTCCCATATATTTATTAATTTGCATATATTTATTAATATTTATTAAAAGGAAAATATCTTCTATTAAGCAACAATTTTTCAATTTATATTTTAATTTCATTCAATAAAAGTGCTGAAATGAATGAAAAAAAAATTAAGATTATCAAGTAAAGTTATAATGGGACAGAAAACCAAAAATCCAAAGGAACACCCATCCATTTGTTACCTGAAGTTATACAAATTTCAGATCATGGGGGGGGGGAAGGTTGTTACATTTAAAATTTAAAAAAAAAGCTAGAGCAATTAAAAACATTTTTTTAAAGTATAAGAGCAATTTTAAATTTTGATAGAAAAAAGTTACTACGTAAGGTTCTTATGTTTATTGACAAGTTGTTATAATTTTGATCTTTACTTTAACTTCTTTGTCACATGTTCTTCACCAGAACGCAAATTAGCTTTAAGTGTAATTGAGCTAAAAGTTTTGAATCTTTCAGAGAGAGAGCTTCTAGCCCTCACATAGCTTGACAGAGTTTTGCCAGCTCTATCTAAACTCTTGTGTGTGTAAACTTCTTAATTTGTGTGTGGTGAGAAATTTACCGGTTAATGTAATGTTTGGGATGCATTTTATAATGTGTGCTAGAGCGAAAATTAATTATCAGGAAAATCGGTATAACCCAACTGCAAGAATCAGCCCCCCCCCATCTGCCCTCTCCTAACTGCATGAATCAAAGTTTTCACTTTTGCCTGCTGGTGAATTTAACAATCTCATTCAGAAGAAGCCTCTCCCTTTAAAAAAACTGAGGGTTACCATCTAGTTTTACTGTTCAAAGCCAAAAGCAACTACAGAAAAAGAAAAATAGAATTACATATGACAAGAAAATGTAAAGAATAAGCAGGCTAATTACTTGACTAATAGTGATACATGCAAGAGCTAGCAGAAACAATAAATGGTAGGTATTAGTAAACACACATATTAGCATTGGAAACACATTTCATTCATTACAATGCTACAGCGAATATTGTTATAATTATTTAATTATAAAGCGTATGAATTATATTTCTTGTAAATTACATGTATTAATGCTATTATTGATTTAGCATCTCTCTTTGATAATAATAGTCATGGTGTCTGAACTAAACTGCAAGATTTAGGATAGTTAACTGGCATGCAAATGGTTATTCAGTACTAAAATACAGTTCTGGAATAAACATGTTAAAGGACAGTACTTATTACTTTCACGAAAATTCCAGACTAAACATACTACGCAAATTAGATGGAGAAATAATCCAAAATTTACTGATATATGTATAAAGTATATGTTTCTGGAAAAATTTACATACAACTTTCACCAAGGTATCAATCATAGACATCCAGCTTATTTTCTTATTAAACAGATTTGCAAAGAGATTCACTAAGGTAAAGGAGAAAATTACCAATGGATAAAACTTTGTAGTACAGTCAAAAGTCGTTAATCCGGACTCGTCGGGACGGCGATTCCGGATTATTGATTTTTCCGAATTATAGATCATCAGTTTAAATCTGGTAAGATGGCATGCAGAAATTATAAAATAAAAAATATGAACCAAACCGATATGAAAGAAAGAACAATTATGATCTAAAAAGTATCAAAATTTACAAAAAAAAGCTTAATATTTATTTTACTTTATTAAACATTTCTTTCAATGTAAATTGTTTAAGTTGCTTCGTTTTTTATGTGATAATACTTTCTCTTTAATTCTATAAACAGACACAATTTCTTGTTCAGTTACAAAGTTCCGCTGTTCAAGTCCTATAATTGCTGTGTCGAGAATACCGACTAATTTGTCAATCGAAATTTTTTCGTTTTCAATAACCTCTGCGTCACTTTCTTTGCTATCAGAAGCGAATTATAATGATGAAGAATTTTATTTAAATCATATCAAAGACGGAGTACATCGAGATGAAATACTACATTTAGTAAAAAAAATATAAGCCAAATAAAATATAAACATCTGCCCTGAAGATAAGGATAGTGCTGACAGATCAACTTCCAATTCATTGCGCACCGCAGCATTCCCCCTCGCCGCAGAGCAGCTAAAATTGATAAACAGATTTCGGAATGGTTAGATAAACAAAGAATATGCCTTTATCCATTTTTTGCAGCAATTCCACTTTTTGTTTAATGGACTTCAAAACATACTTTCGCTTTGTAGATCCTTTACATATTAGTAAATATATATCGGAAATTCTATTTGACATAATCGAAAGTTCAAGCTTACTTTTATAAAATTGCTCTAACAGTCTGCAAAAAATAATAAGCCGGATCCAATTCGAAGATTAAGGAACAACGCAATCTGCAACATTAACTGAATTAGATAATTTTAGCTTAGCTTATACCGTCCGTTACACATTAAACGCGCATGCGCACATGCATTTTCACAGCCGTAAAGGTCTTACGCTCACTCGTAAACGCCTGTGCGCATGTGTAAACGCGACGCATGCGCAGAAAGATTGTAGCTTTGAGGTCCGGATTATGGGTGTCCGAATTAACGACTTTTGACTGTATTTTTAAAGAATAAATTTTTTAAATATTTTTCCTTCATAAACAAATGTTTTTACATATTAAACATACCGCCTGGTCATAAGACCTCTTAAAAATTAGGCTGATCAGATGCTATGTATTGAATAACATATTAAAGAAAATAGAAGCTACAGTACTCGTAGACACAAAAGTATGCTGAATTATAGATTTACATGTTTGGTAAATGAGTTAAATCATTCGTATGCCATTATGAAATATTAGGAATATAAGATAAAATCATCAGTGAAGAAGGAAATGGCAATTTAAATAATTATAATTTAAATGTATAGCACTACGAGTATCTGCTGTAAATTCCAATACTGCTGGAAAATTTTTAAAAAATTATATATGTGATAAATTACATAAACTCATTGTATTATAAATTACAACAATCAGGAATTTTACTAGCATGATTTAACCCCCATCTTTTTTAATTTCCAACCATTAATTTTACAAACAATTACGCCTAAAACTAGATTGGAAAATAAGCTGCCTATTGAAGTTTAATCAGTACCAAGGTGTTAGAAATATCTCTTGTTAACCTAAGTTATGATGGAGGAGTTTATGAAAATAATCATTTAAATATAAATTGGCACAAATACAATACAACAATATACAAATTCTAGACACATGAAAACTTGAATATAATATAACATTGTAAGGAATGGATGAAGAGGAAGTTAAAATCCCAAGATATAACAGAGTTTGAAATTTTTTTATTAATTATGAAAATGCTGCAGATGCTCATAATTATCATCTATTAGTAATTAAATGTGCATTATAAATGAAATTTATATCAAAGTAACAAAATAAAATACAGTTAGAGTAACTGGAAAACAGGATAAATGTTTAAATTTGTAAGAAAGTTAAATAAGTTTAAAATACCTTCAATAATTAAAAATGGAAAGCTTAATAAGATTTATATTAAAATAATATTGCTATGAATTTAGAGCTGCTTAACACACCCAATTTTTTAGTTTTAATAATGAGAATTTTTTTAATTAAATTACAGCTATTTACCTAAAATGATAAATTTGAAAGTTAAACCATTCTACTATCTACATTGTTTTGTTAATATTTACCCAGACAAGAAAACTAAACATTCAACTTGGAAATTTTTGAATTCTTGTGGAGAATAAACAGGATTTGGCTCATAATTCTTTTAAACATTATAAAACTATAATACGGGTGTAAAAGAAATTCAGTTTTAGTTTAGCACATACCAGATTTTAATTTAATATTTTTGTATGCACAATTTTTACAATATCTCATAAATAAAAATAGAGGCTTGTAGTCTTAATCAAATATCCCATTTAATAAGGATAAATAACTTTTTTGTAGCACCTATCTTCTTGGGAATTCAGGTTCTTAGAAAGAGTGGGGGAAAAGGAAAGTCGTGCAGTTCGTGGGTCTTCTTTGTTCATAGGTTGGGATATATATATATGGTTGGGGATGGAAATATATGGTTATGGACTTGAAGAGTCCTGAGGCATATATTAATATGATGTTAGTCCTCCCTTTTGCATCGACAAAGCCTGCACACATCTGAGGAGACCTTACACCAGTTTTTGATAGGTGACCATAGGAATTGACTTCCAGGCGTCCCATCACAGCTGAAGGGAATGCTAGAATTAAGGATGGTTGATTTGGCTGGCTAAATAATCTGTGTTCTAATTTGTCATAAAGATGTTCTATGGGATTTAGATCGAGGCTCTGAGAAGACCAGTCCAGTTTTTGAGTGCCCATTTTGTCAAACCATGATTGTGCAAGTCTCAATGTGTGAATCTAACAGTTATCCTGCTAGAAGAGAAATGGGCCTTCGTCAAAATATTGCCATAGAGATGGGAGAGCAGCATCATCCAGAATGGCCACATACATCTCAGAGTTCCTGTTTCCAACCACAGGAACTAAGGAACCCAGGCCAAACCATGAAAAACATTCCCACACCATGATGCTGCTACTATCAAACTTCACAGTCGGCATAATGCAGTCATTTAAGAAATGCTTGCCGGGCAGCTGTCAAACCCAGATGCATCTGTCGGACTGCCAGATTGTAAAAGAAGATTCATTACTCTGAAGAACACTTTTTCACATGTCCACAGTCCACTGATGGTAAGCTTTGCACCATCCTAATCGAAACTTTGCATTCTGGGGAGTGATGTTCAGCTTTGAGTAGCTGCAGGATCATGGAATCCCAGATTTTAACTCT